AGAGAGAGAGAGAGAGAGAGAGAGAGAGAGAGAGAGAGAGAGAGAGATTTTCATCCAACCTCCGTTTTTTTCCAGAGCCTATCTCTGCTCCACGGCTCTGCTCAGCTCCCTATTGTTTAAACAGGGAGGGAAAAAAGAACACTCCGCTTGTTCTGTAACCGCAGCCAGAGAGTCTTCTTTTTGTTGTTGTTGCTGCTCGATCTTCGCCGCTCTGAATGCTGTATCCACCGTCAACTTCTCCGGTTTCTCCACTTAAGACTTGCGCTGCATCATGAATAGTTTGGGGGCACCTTTCAATCGCATACCTCTGGAATGGTGGGGATTACACGGCCGAAACCCGGAGAGCATGTAAACGCAAATGGAGTTTGGGATTTATTGCAAAATAAGGGAAAGATGACCGTCTTCTCGTTGTGCTTGCTCTTGTGCGCAGACCTACTGGATTTAGCCGTCGGTAAGTCTGACCATGCTGCCATATCATCTTCACACAGTCGGAACCGCTCGCGCAGCGCCTGCGATCGAATGCGTGCGAGGGTCCAACAATAGCCGAACTGTCAGTGGGTTGAGTGATTGGTATGTGACAGTGAAATACTCCGTGCCCATTAACAGGACGGCCGGGTGAAGGCGATCTGTGCCACGCTTGCCTCGTGCCAACTTTCCGTGCCAACCAAGTCGTGGAGGAGAGAAATTCATGAATAAATGCTCGTATTCAGTTCAGGGCTGCTGTTGGTGCGTTCAAAAGGAAATGCAAGAAGAGGGTTAGCAGGAGGCCTAGTCATGTATTAAGTGTTAATTCATCTGCATTGACTATCACGAGCGTGCATGACAGCACCTACTGCTGAGGCACAACTAAACCACGCCGAAGCGCGCTCCTCGGCGTCCTGGTCACCGTGGATTTTGCACACCACACAGCGCCTGCACGGGCTCAACTGATTTTAAAGTTGTTGCCATGAAAAAAAAAAACATTGAAGTGCAGATTTCTGCTTTCAGTGTAGCCTGTGCGCGCTGCTCCACACAGCGGTGGCATCAGTGTCGCGTGTTTTCCCTCCGTTCTCCGTTGACGCGTTAAGATGTTAGAGGATGAAAAAAAAACCCCAGCATTAATCATCCCACATGAGAGATCTGGATTTGAAATATAAAAGCCAATCCTGTAGAAGACAGACTGATAGATCTAGATAATGTAGGCTACACATTTTATTTCGGGAGGCAGTGGTGATGGGACTGGGGATGTTATACTGCAATTTAAGAGAAGCCAGTAGGCTATTATCTGTTTGCAACAGATAAGGACCTGGTGGCAGTCATTTCCCCCCCATTGCTCTTACGATATTGCTCGTCCTCACATATGGCATTTTGCAGAGGCACTTTGTTTTCTGCATGGTGTCATACATCAATTACATCATGCATTGAGACTGCACTGCAAGCACTTGATTCCCTTACGGAGGAATATGGAAAGGCTCACAGTCGGTGCACTTGTGGTGTTTGAAGGACTTCAGAAGAGAGTTCACTTCTGGCTATACAACATCAGAGCGGCATGCCTTACGAACTAACCTGTTCACCTGCGCTATTAGCTGGGGATTTTCTTGTTCTGAAGTGTTTTTGACCTTCGCTGACCCGCATAGGAAATCATTACGCCGGTCAGGCTTAAAATTATGTTAAGTGATAAAATGCCTCCTGGTCTGTCCTCCTCAGATGATGCTGAACTACACACGGGCCTCATGTAAGGCTTTTAGAACTACATCAATCATGCTCTTTTGAAATGTTACTTGGATTTATTTTGGTTTGATGACATTGCACAGTTGAGCGACTGTACGATCTCCCGTGCACGCGTTAACATCGATCGCTGTGTAAACAAACAGTGAAAGGTAGAATTTAACCAATCGATTGGCAGGATTTGAGTTGTAGTGACTTTTGGTCAGACTGCGTGGCTGTTTTCTCGCTTTGGTTGTCAATACTGTTTAACAGAATCGATTTATTCTGTGATTCAACGTAGGATTTGACTTTTATTGTCAATGTTTTTGTCCCCTAAGCAGTGTTCTTTATATTAAATGTCTGCTGTCTTCTGGATATCACTTTCCTTTTATACCAGTTTATACAATTTCCGTGTGTGTGTGTGTGTTCTAACAAGATCAAGGTCTCTATTTCAATGTGTAAACCAATGTTTTAAGATTGATTCTGTTCCCCAAAGAGAGGGCCTCTGGTCAGTGATTCCACTCATCTCTATCTTGAAATGCCGTATATTATTATTTTCCTCATATTTATCTCATTTGGGAATGAACCTCCTTGATACTCGGTTAACTTGTAGCACAACTTGTGCCATCGCTGTCTGCCAGATGTGTCCTTCCTTCAGAGACTTTGGCACAACTCACACGCAGCTATAGCCTCAGCTGGCAAAATGAAATAGTTCAGGATTCATGTTTGGCCGTGAAGCATGTCACAGAGTCACTGTTTCGAGAGCAGTCTGTAGGTGTTTCTCCTGGAGTTCTATTTTCACATAATTTATTCTTGCAGATGTATATGTACACGGTGGAGTCCAGTATTTCCCCAGACATGCAATGTAAAATATAAACCTACAAAAATAAAGATTTTAGTATATGTTGCTGTTCTGCAAGACCTAAATGGGCGGTGAGGACCTGTACCTTCATCTTCTTTAGAGCATCGGCACATTTCCATTGTGCATATTCACAACTTGTAGCTGTGTCTTCAGCCTCCAGTGCACCTGCTACATCTGGTTGACTTCTGCAAACATCAGTGCAGACACACCATTATCTGGATTGATCTCACGGGAGTGCTTACTCTGGAGGTCAAACATTCATATAAAAATCCAATCCAATCACAGCGAGTAGAACAGCATCGGGTCCTGAATCCACAAGGATTACTTCATTCTCTGAACTTCAGGAACATCTAACATCTCGATAAGTTAAACCATTCCTGTTGGTTTCAGAAATTGTTTGACATTTTACGCTGACTCGCTTTCTTGCCAAGATTTAAATGAGCAGATTGATACCATTCTCATTCTAAAATATAAGGCTGCAGTCAGCAGTAGCTTAGCTTAGCATAAAGACTGGAAGCAGGGGAAACAACTAGCCGGGCTCTGCCTGGAGGAAACAAGATCTGCCCCTCTCTAAAGCTCACTGATGAACGTCTTATATCTTGTTTCCTTTTATCTGACAAAAAAAAAGATGTAAAAAGTTACACAGGGTTATTTATGGACAATTTACAGGCAGGGAGCAGCGACTTCCTGAGGTCTTTGCTCACCGCACAGTGACAACAAGACTTTAGGGAATTAGAATTGAAAATAAGAAAGAATACAGCTCTTAGCTCTCAGAAATAGTCTGACACATGAATCCCCAATAAACGACAACTGAACTGCCTATTAACTATGAAATGAAGATGGTGATGACCTGATATCTTGACACGAAACGCATACCAGGCAGGTGTCTGTGTGTGTGTGTGTGTGTGTGTGTGAGGCTAATCACAATTGCTGCTGTGAGATCTCTTGCTGCTGTTCAAGAGATAGTTTATATAGTTCACCGTTAAGTTTGATTTATGACTTCTAGTTGGGGAGAAATTAATAAATCCCACACCGTAGAATTTAATTGGGATGAAATAGTGTTATTCTTCCTGTTTCAGTTAGAGCGGATGGGCTTTTTGCTGCAGTCCCGTTTGTGATTTCGTGGATTGGAGGGATGCATTTCATACCTTAAGGTGTGTTTCGGTTAGCTTGATGTTGGTTGTTTTTAGTCCCGACAGACTTTACCTCCACCATCCCCCAAAAAAGAAAGAAAAAGATCCATTGGAATAAGTTGGCACAAGGTGGTACTGTATTACTGTTTGTTTGACAATGCCTTTTAGACTTGCTTCCCAGGGCATCAGAGATTCCTCTGAGATATTAAGATGTACAAATAAGAGTGTTCAGAATTGAATTGAAACTACATCCAATTTCAGCTTTTTGACACTTTTTCTCCGGCTCCGTCTCTGGCTGAGACCATTTTCTCAGATCAGTCTTACCTAATAGAAATCAAAGTATCTCTAATGCTCTCTCTCATTTCCCCCTTTTTAGAGCAATCTGTGGATGAAGTGTCTTACACAGTAATACTAGATATGTCCTGCATAATTCTTACTGAAGATAATGTTTTTCTCGAAACCCTCATGAATAAAATCCGTCCTTGTTTATTCTCACAGCAAGTGACAATTTGCTGTCCACTGCAATCAACTATGCGTCTTCCCTCAGATGCTCTTATTTATGTATCTTGTTTTTATATTTTTCCAATTAGTGTTGCAGTGAATGAAAGAAAACGTTTTTTTGTTTTTTTTGCATGCCTTGCATGTCCTAAGCTAAATGCAAATGGCGGATGGGAACTGCTTTAGCTTTGGGTGTGCAGCTACATGTAGGTTCAAAAAAGGAATGCAGTAAAGTACAAGGCGCTCTGACTTTGTGTAGATCAGCGAATGGGACAGGCAGGCTCTTACCATTTGCTACCAATGGAATCCGGTGGGAATATTACAGGGATAAGAAGCTAAATAAACTATGTCTGTGTACTCATGTTCACTGTGTCAAAGGTCAAAGGTATTCTGAGCTTTATGGTAAACCGACTTAAACAGCTCCGTCCAACACACTGTTTGAGTCATTGCAGTTAGGACGCAGAAAAAGGAGTCATAATAGGCATATACATGATATAACAGCTACAGGTAATTGGCTGTGGCAATTGAATCAAATGTATTCTTTCAAGTTTATTAAACCCTTCATGTTCTTCTGCTGATTCATCCCATCTATGGAGATATCTGTCCTCATACCACACAGCACTGTAAGGTTGGATTGTAGATTCCGGATCACAGCAGTGTCGACAGATTCAGCAGACACTGGATCTCTGTTAGATCTGATGGTTAGATCCGGTGCACTGTGTGACTGTCTGCTATACTGTGACGGCTGGTCTTGACTCACAGGAAGTAGGAAGAGATATTGGCTGGAAAATGGGTTATGCCACCACTATCTAACAATCACCAGGCTTTGCATGAGCAGTGCAGCTTTCAGCAGTTATATAAAATGATTATACCCAGATTAGCAGCAGTCTTCATTGTTTTGCGCTGCTATTTGTTTGGTCAGTCAATGTGACTGTTGTAAATAGTTTTATACAATATATGCATTTTTTTTCTAATGAAATACTGCATATACTTTTTTTGCAAGGACTGTCTTACAGTATGTGCTTTTGGCAGGAGTGCATTATTCTGAAGATCACTGCAAAAGTGCAATGCAGTCGTTTGATGTATGTATTGATTTATTGCTCACAACTCATGAGACAATTTTTTTCTCCTAGACCAACCTCTGCTCAATATACAGTACTGTTGAGACAGCACACTTTAATATCACACTATCCTCTGCAGCTGATAGGATCTCATTTGTCTGAAAACACTATGATTATGTATTCTACTGACATATTTGATGCAATGGTGAGT